CAAGTCAGCCTTCGCCCCTGCTTTTGGTTGACTTTGGATTTTATATATCAGTACATATTTTAAAACTTTTTTTCATAATTTATTCCATTTCCATTTATTTATTTATTTATTATTATTATTATTATTTATTATTATTATTATTTTATGGGGAGGCGGGGGGGGTTTTTAAAAATCCCCCTTTTTCTAAAGGAAAACCGGGAGAGGGGCCCCTTCTTTCAAAATTGTTTTTGCGGGGCCTAGAAAAAAAAAGACCCTTGTTGCAACCCCCCCAAACAAGTTTTCTTGACATTGAGGGAGATTCCAAGGTTTTCTTCCTTATAAATTTGGTCCCATCGGCAGGGGGGGGGGGGGGGGATGATCTTACCCTGGGTTGGAATTGGGACAAACTATTCAGGAAAGATAAGAAACAGTCAGATCCCACAGTTAGAAAATGGGATTATAATTTGAATCTGAAGCACACATAAAACCCTTTTATTATCAACTTTCCTTTTTTCATTAAAAGAGAATACTTCGGAAACCGTATCAAAAGACCGTATTGACGAAGTACACCACGTTACTGAATATTTTCTCTGTCTATCGCCATCTAACTAAACTGCTCGAGAACCCTGTGTTGTACTGTATCATTTCTTGATTGCCCCCCCCCCCCCAAATCACTGACGCCAGACACCCCAAGTACTACATAATATAAGGGATTGTGGTGAAATCAAAGATTGTCTACTACCGGTATACACGGTCTTTAGTGAAATTACACGCTCGTCAAAATATTGAATTGAAGAAATCGAGATTTTCTGTCCATTGGGCAATTTTTATCCTTTAAAAATTTATTTTTTGGTGTTGCTCAACACCTTGTAATGAACAGACTGTAAGATTATACTAACAACTCCATATGTATCAAAAGTGACGATCATTTGATTCCACTGCGTTGTGATACATAAATGTGACTGACCTTTGCCCTCTCCCCACCCCATGATCCAGCAGCCTTCCCAGTCCTCGTCACTGCCCATGTCTCGAGAGGGCAGACAAACATGGCGGATGTCGAAGCCAGTGACGTCTGCCGGCGTCTCAAGTCGAAGCAAGGCGATGTCATGGGGGAAGTTGTCAGCGTTCACGAAATCTGGATGCTAGATTTGGTTTTGGAAAAGGGGAGGGGGCAGTTTGATCATAGTTATTAACATGTATAATGACACACTTCAACACTAATATACCAACCTTTTTGTGCTCGTTTCAAAGTTTAAAAGCTATTGGGTCGTCGAAATTCAGATATTAGGCTTTGCTTTTGGAAAAAGATTGAAACAGAAACTTATATATTAATACTTATATTATACTGATTCCTCCTTTGCCACCACCCCGCACAAAAAAAACCCAACTAAAAAGAATATATATATTTTAAAAAAAGAAATAACGATACGAATAAATCATTGTCAATAAATGGATAAAACAAACAAAATGACATTTTAAAAACTTGATTGCCCACATTAAATCTTGATACCTATTAAAATGTTCTTATTCGAGAGAGCCCTGAAAGTTGTAGCAACTATCGACGTAGACAACAGACAACGACATTTACGAAACTCTTATTACCTTGGCTATGAAGTCAATTTTTGTGGAGGAGCCGTGCTGCCAGAAGATTGCTCTCCATTCGTCTGCTGTACTGAAGTCTGGTCTGTGGTCAACAAGTGCATAAAAATGTTGTTGTTTTTTAAACCCTCCTCAATCTCATGATAACAATTATGCACATGAACCATATAATATTGTGCGTCTTAACTCTTTCCGCACCACGTGTAAGATGAGATCATCTTACGCTGGCAATTAGTGGTACTTAAATTGTTAACAATGTGCAAGTACGTACATAGATCTCTACCAGTCATTTTCCAAGATAATAGCATTGCGTTAAAGTTTCTGTTTAACAATTCGAAAACAACACAGTTCACAGAATTTCTGAAAGACTAACATTAGAACAATCTCTCGTGATCTAGCAACAACAACAACTTTCTTTGGCATTTACATGTACATGTAGATATTGATCTCAATGAAAATGTAAGTTCTTAACAACGCCTGGCAAAATTAATTGAGAGTCAGGAGAAGCTTGAGCATTTCAAGACAGCACAGACATACATGTATATATAATTTTGCGTCTTATCATACTCCAAAAATAAAAGCAAGCCGTTTTGAAGAGGTGAAAAGAAACACCCACTCACACAAACACGTATTCAAATACAATTAACATCTCTCTCTCTCTCTCTCTCTCTCTCTCTCTCTCTCTCT